GCTTGTTTTGAATAGTTACTGGATGGTAATTACAACAAACACACACTCGCTTACGTCATTGTTTGATCGGCAATGCATTATATATGTCTTGCTTATAGGTTTCTCTTATCGCATTGGTGGTTCAGTGGTAGAATGCTCGCCTGCCACGCGGGCGGCACGGGTTCGATTCCCGGTCGATGCAATTCCTATTTGCTTTTTATTTTGAAGGTCGCCTTGTTGTTGTTCACATATCGCCGCGCTTTTCTGCCTTTCGTCGCATTCGCTGGCTGTTTGTGACGAGTTTTTACGTTCGCAAGCATTTGTGAGGCAAAGAGACGAGACGCGCTAGAGGCCAAGCTATACTCTGCGTCTCCTTGTTCGTAGCGATCGCTGATCGGAAGAGCGTTTCGGTTCGCAGCTCGGCCCTCCTCGCGTGTCACTCTTCGTGTGCGCTGAGTGCTTTCCCTCGATTAAGTATTGATTCTATTCGTTCAACGCTTCTTTTTATTTCCATTTGAAAACCTATTTCAGACCCAAAAATGACCATTCCGCTTTACAAATTACCACCTCTGGTTCCTCTTCCCGAACTTCCCGAGTCGGATCCTTCTCGAAAATTGTCTGTAGGAGTTTACTGGGAAAATTGCAAAAAGAAAGAGTTTCAATTCGATCAACTCGATTTTTCAAACGACACATTGAAGAAAGTGGTGCTTTCTGAAATCGAGAGACATCCGGAGATTTGGAGTTCGAGGAAAGGAAATAGTCATCAGAAGATGTTTCCGCAAATCGCAGTAGATGTTTTTAAGAGAACTGGGATTTTGTTGTCGAGTATGTTTTTATAATTTTGGCTCTTTTTATTTTCAGGACTTTTTTTCTCGCTTTTCGTGCGTTTTGCGGAAAGTTCTCACTAGAATGATTTTAATTTACCGACTTTTTTGAGGAAAAATATAATTAAATTCGACGAAAAGTGAAAAATAATGAAAAAAGGGAAAAAATCCTAAAAGAAACACATTTTAGGTTACTGTAGTTGTCAATTTGAGACTTAATTTCAGTTCCCTCCATCAAATCCATCTACAAATGTGCCAAGGACAATCTCCGTAACCGCCTTCGAATCGCCGTTGTCCGTCATCGTCTATCTCCAGAAGACGTCGAGCGCTATATGTGGCGATGGGATTTCTACGGGTTCATCCGCTTCTATCGCGAACACACTCAACATTGGGAAGCCGAGCTGTTGAAAGAGGCTGCTAGCGGTCTGCCGGTTTCTCCAAATCCCGTTTTAAAGGATCCGGTTCCCAGGAAAAGAAGAGCAACTCAGGCGATGGAAGAGGATTACGGAGTGGTGGAAGAAGAGCATTTCGAGGATAAAGATTTATATGGTGGACAACTTGAAATCGACTACTCAGTGTATCTTCCACAGAATGGGACTTTTGAGGAGCCAGAAGAGGAGACACCGTCGCCAACTGTAAAATTGGATCGTGCCATAACGCAACAAATACGCACTCTACAGCCACCATCTGATTATCCGGATTATGTTGCTCCGGATGTTACAGATTGTGTTAGTTCCTCGGTAAGAGCTTTTTAGCAGTCTGTCTTTTCAGACTGAAAATGACCTGGTATTCATTTGTTGTGATTTCTAGGTCGTTTTGAACTGGTGGCATAACTTTTGCAAGTTTGGTTTTATAGGCCACCACTTCGAAATGATCTAGAAAAGTTCTAGTTCATATATTTCCAGAGCACCGCCCCTCCAAATCCAGCAGCTATCAACAATTTCAACGAAGAAATGAAACAAATCGCCTATCAAGCGAATCGTATTGCTCAGGAACAACCAGGAGCTATCAAGCTCCTACGACGAGCATTTTTCGATGTGGTTTTGGCCTTCGATGAGCACAAATTCAAAAATATTGGAGAGCTTTACAAAGAGTTGGCCGATAAGAATACTAAATAATCGATCGATCGCGATCCCTTTTTTGCTGATGTATCTCATTTATATTTATGCAAGCCAAAGTGCTGAAATTTTGTACCGGAATTTAATAAATTTGTCTTTTTGTCCCAATTTCTGCGTCTCTCACTATCTTTCACTATCTATCTCGCTCTTTTCATCGTTTTCACGGTGTTTTTCGGTGTAAATGCGCTCAAATGCGAATGCGAAATGCGAAGAACTCAAAACTACAGTAAAATTAGCGTTAGTCTCGACGCGAAAGCTTTAAATTGAACTCGCTGCTCAGCAGTGTCTGTATTCCCACCGGAAAATGCGCGGGAAAAAATCGTTCCGGAAAAAGCGGCATCGAAACTATCGGACTTGGCAGACATGGAAAAACTCAAAAATTTCGAAGAAAAATCTCGGAGTTTCTGAAATTAGTGCAATCCTATCGCTTGTAAAATATAGAATTCTAAATGCCAATGTCCCCAGGTGAATATTTTATGCCTGACTAAAGACTGCTTTCGAAATGAATTTTCAGCTGCTGGTCTGGAAATAGTCATGACGAAACTGAAAATTGATTGAAATTTGATATTTTACTAACAGGTGAAATTAAAATTCTTGTAAATTTCTCATTTCCGGAACAAAAATTGTATCAAAAACTCATGGGAACCCTCAACATAGATTTCGAAGTCCCTTATCATTTAATCATTCATTATTATATATCTGGATCAATAGCTCTCATTCTAAACTTATTGGTTGTCTATCTCATAGTTTTTCATAGTGGAAAACTCGATACTTTCAGATTCTATTTGTTGACTTTTTAAGTATGTCAGAATTTCTGAAAAAGAAGTTTCTTTTAAAAACTTGATATTTTGAGGTTGTATGCATAATATCTGACTTGAATTTCACTGTTTTTAGCCAGCCAGTTGGTTTATTTCCAATTTGTGCTGGGTATTTTAATGAAATTTTCTCAAGACTGTTCAATTGGTCCTCTAATGTTTTATTGGTTTTTCATATCGACTTGAAATTTTCTAAATTTAGAGTTTCAGACAACTTATACACTTCCTAATTAGTGGTCAAATCGAGGTTCTCACAATTTGTTTTTTAAAGGTGGGGGGACAGGAGATTTTTCGTAGTTTTTTTGTAGCTAGAGTATGCATTCTACCGTCACTGTGTACAACGCTTAATGTCACTCTGCGTACAGCTGTCGTCCTCGCCTTTATGTATGCAATCGGGCGTGCGCTATCTCTTTGCCCGCGTGGCTCAGTCGGTAGCGGCGCCGCACCCTCAATCATCTCCCTCACAAGTTCAACTCCTCGAGGGGCATCTTTGAACGTATTTTCCAGAACATTATTTTTTTCATCTCCCCCCACCTTTAAGAAAGCATTAGGCAGTGATTAATATCAGAAGCTTATCAAGAGTTCCCAGCTGGAAATATCCCATCTTTTATACTGGTGTTAGTCTTTTTTCATTCTTGATTTCAGTTTCAATATTTATGAGTAAAATTAGCAAAGAGGATCAGTTCGCCGAGATAGAAAAAGTGTTTTTTACTTTTTCACAGACTTTTCTGAAACTACAAATTCCAGCTCTACCCAGAATTCGTTCCGAAATTTCGTGCTCTTTAAGAATTTCAATACTATATTTTGAACAATTGGTTGATTACTTTCTTCGCTCTAACCACAATTGGAACTGCCAAAACTACAGTAATCGTTTCGATTCTAGTTATACGAATGTATAAAACATTAAATGAAAACGCGAGTCGAATTTCAAGTAAAACGCTTTCAAAACAAAAACTGCATTGAAGAGTTTGATTATGCAGGTGGAGGAATACTGTAGTTTTGAATCCAAATTTCCATGTTTTCAGTTCATGACCACCCCAATTTCTTTCTTCCCAGCTTTAGTTATCCTTCTCACAATTTTAATCCCAACAGTATATTTGCAAAGCGGGTTGAAGTGTTGTATTCACAAATTTCAGACATTTTCTAAATTCCAGAAATTTCCCGGTGGTCCCTTATGGTTGGTACTACTCATTCGATTTTAAACTCTATTGTTGTTATCATAACATATGCTGAATTTCGGAAAGTTTTGTTCTTCTGGAGAAAAACTAAAAAGTGAACTATCGCTGAGGTTAGCCAGTGTTCAATTAAACTGTTTCAGGGTAGCGACTTTGGTTCCACCTGTGAAGCCATCTGGAGGTTAAGAGGATCCGTTTTTCAGCTACCGGGATTTCTGATACATCCTCTAATATCCCATTCGAATAATCAATTTTTTGTCATTTTGCGATTGAAAAAACGTTTTCTTTGTTCAGCCTAATGTTTTATTTCTTCTTTTCACTGTGAAAAACAATAAAAATTCATAAACTAATACATGTTTTTTAAAGTATTCATTATTTTAAGATAATTTTACAGATAATTTTTCGGATAATTCGTTACTCTCTTTACTATTTCCTTTGAATAGAATTGTTCGTATTTGACATGAATTTCCAAGCGTTATCCAGGTAATTCTACTTAAACTCCGGAAGGCCTCATAGATGAAATCAGAGTCGATACCCTGAAATCATATAATTAAAAGATTTCCAGCTTCAGCGATAGCTAACTTTTTAGGATTCCTTCTCCAGAAGAACAATGCGTTTCGAATTTCAGCATACGTTATGATGACAACAATAGAGTTTAGAGTCGAATGAGTAGTTGGGGGTACGACGAATTCGAACGTTTTCAAATTCGAACCTAAAATCGAACTGATTCAATTCAGAACAGTCCTTTTTTCGTACACGTACCAGAACAGAACGCGGACAGAATCGAACTGTTACAAGTTCGAACTGGTAAGGGGTCGAACTGTCCCAAATTGGAACGCTGCCTGCAACAGAGCGCGCATGAAAGCACACACAAAACAGCGTTCCAATTTGGGACAATTCGACCCCTTACCAGTTCGAACTTGTAACAGTTCGATTCTGTCCGCGTTCTGTTCTGGTACGTGTGCGAAAAAAGGACTGTTCTGAATTGAATCTGTTCGATTTTGAAAACGTTCGAATTCGTCGTACCCCCGAGTAGTTCCAATCATAAGAGACCACCAGGAAATTTCTGGAATTTTGAAGTAAACTAAAAATTATAGTTCAACTGACTTTGCGAATATTCTGTTGGGAATAAAATAACGAGAAGGAGAATAAAAGCTGGGAAAAAGGAGATCGGAATGGTCATAAACTGAAAATATTGAAATTTAGGTTCAAAACTACAGTAATGCACCACCTGCATAATCAAACTCTTCAGTGCGGTTTTATGTTTCCCAAGCGTTTTATTTGACATTTGACTCGCATTTTGATTCAACGTTTTATACATTCGTATAACTAAAATGGACACGATTACTGTAGCTTTTGCAGTTCCAAAAGTGGTGAGAACGAAAAATATGCCGATTGTTCAGAACATAATATATAAAATCTGGGAGAGCACGATATTTGGGAGCAATTTCCGGGTAGAGCTGAAATACTTCTTTTCAGAATGAATCTGAAGGAAAAGTACTCTATACTCTTTCGAGCTCAGCAATTTGCTCTTCCCTGCTAACGTTACTCATAAATATTGAAAAGGCAATCAAGCATGTAAAAAGGATACACCCAGTATAAAATATAGGATGTTTCCAACTAGGAACTCTTGATAGGTTTCTTACATTCATCACAGCTTTGTGTTTTCTTAAAAAGCAAATTGTGAGAACTTCGATTTGACCACTCATCAGGAACGTGTAAATTGTCTGGAACTCAAGATTTTTCTTAATTTTCGGCTTATTATTTTTGAAAACCATCAGAACATGAGAAGACCAATTAAAAACTCTTGAAAAATTCCATGAAAATATCCAGCACAAATTGGAAACAAACCAATTGGTTTCGAAAAAACAGTGATATTCAAGTCACATATTATACAGGCTATCTGAAAAAAACTACAGTAACATCTGTATTAGAAGATCCCTTTTAATAGAAGGGTGTCTCTAGTTTCATTGTATTTGAAACTTCATTTCAGAGCGTTTGACATACTTGAAAAGCCAGCAAATAAAATCTGAAAGTATCGAATTTGCCACTATGAAAAAGTATAAGATACACAACTAATAAGTTTAGAATAAGGGCTATTGATCCAGAAATATAATAATGAGTGATTACATGATAAGGGACTTCAAAATCTATGTTGAGGGTTCCCATGAGTTTATGATACACTTTTTGTCCCGGCTATGTGAAAAAAGATAATGAGAAAGTGATCAGCGGTCTTCAATTTCACCTGATGGTCGGAAGTATTATGATATCATCATTACTAATAACTTTCACCAGATTCCCTATGTTGGTTTGTTTTGCCTTTTCACCCACTCAAAGTTCCTGATTTTAAAAATTTTGGAATTTTTATTCACCGATGTTTGAACTTCGAAGATTTCGAATTTTGGAATTGAATCTTCTCGTCCTGGAATTCTAAAATTTCGAATCACAGATACTATTTTCTAGGTTTCTGAGGCTCTGAACCTATCTATAATTTTCGGATTTTCGAACTTCCAAATGTCCGAATTTAGATATTGAACACAACTTGCCCCTGAAATTTTTTTGACAAAACCTTCTGACTGACGAAATCTTCTTATGAGTTTACGGGTACTGTAATCGGAGCTCAGAAGGTACAGGCTTACACTGACTGAAACATTTTATTTTTACAGAAAAAACCATTTTTACAGAAAAAAAGTTCAGTTAAACAAAAAGACAGAGAAGGGACAGAAGAAAAGAAGAATCAGCAATCAAAATCAGAGAAACTATTTCATATGCTTATCTTTTTTCATTTAGTTCGTTACTCCAGGCGATCCTCCTTAAACTCCGGAAAGCTTCACAAGTGTAACCAGAAACGACATCCTGAAATTGTTCAATGTAACGTTGTCCAGCATCAGCGATAACTGACTTTTTAGTATTCCGTTTACAGAAAAGAAATGCTTTTCGAAATTCCGCATAAGTTATGATAACAACAATAGAGTTAAAAAAGGAATGAGTAGTACCAACCATAAGAGACCACCAAGAAATTTCTGGAATATTTTAAAATGTTTGAAATTTGTGAATACAACACTTCAACCCACTTTGCGAATATTCTGTTGGGATTAATACGGTGAGAAGAACAACAAACGCTGGGAAGAAGGAAATCGGAGTGGTCATGAACTGAAAATATGTAAATTTAGGTTTGATATTACAGTAAACCCCCACCTGCATAATCAAACTCTTCAATGCAGTTTGATGTCTAGCTATCGTTGCACTAGACAATCGACTCTGATTCTCTTTTAGTGTTTTATACATCCGCATAACTAAAATTAAATCGATTACTGTAGTTTTGGCAGTCCCAAGAGTGGTTAAAACGAAAAATGTGATCAGTCAATTATTCATAATATAATATTGAAATTCTCGAAAAGCACGATATTTGGGAGCAATTTCCGGGTAGAGCTGAAATACTTCTTTTCAGAATGAATCTGAAGGAAAAGTACTCTATACTCTTTCGAGCTCAGCAATTTGCTCTTCCCTGCTAACGTTACTCATAAATATTGAAAAGGCAATCAAGCATGTAAAAAGGATACACCCAGTATAAAATATAGGATGTTTCCAACTAGGAACTCTTGATAGGTTTCTTACATTCATCACAGCTTTGTGTTTTCTTAAAAAGCAAATTGTGAGAACTTCGATTTGACCACTCATCAGGAACGTGTAAATTGTCTGGAACTCAAGATTTTTCTTAATTTTCGGCTTATTATTTTTGAAAACCATCAGAACATGAGAAGACCAATTAAAAACTCTTGAAAAATTCCATGAAAATATCCAGCACAAATTGGAAACAAACCAATTGGTTTCGAAAAAACAGTGATATTCAAGTCACATATTATACAGGCTATCTGAAAAAAACTACAGTAACATCTGTATTAGAAGATCCCTTTTAATAGAAGGGTGTCTCTAGTTTCATTGTATTTGAAACTTCATTTCAGAGCGTTTGACATACTTGAAAAGCCAGCAAATAAAATCTGAAAGTATCGAATTTGCCACTATGAAAAAGTATAAGATACACAACTAATAAGTTTAGAATAAGGGCTATTGATCCAGAAATATAATAATGAGTGATTACATGATAAGGGACTTCAAAATCTATGTTCAGGGCTTCCATGAGTTAATGGTACAGCTTTTGTCCCGGCTATGTGAAAAAAGATAATGAGAAAGTGATAAGTGACATAATTTCATCTGATGGACGCGAGGAATATAATAACTTTTAATCAATCGTCAGTTTTTTTTTTCGAATTCCAGCCAAACAGCTGAAATTAAAATCTCAGCGATCGATCGAAATTTATGGAATCTCTTCAGAACTTTCTCCATAAGTTCATAATGATAAAATTGAATTCCACTTTTTGTAGATTACTGTAGATCGACTATTCTCGTTCCGATCGTCGTTAAGATCTTCGTTGAACTCCAGAAGGCCTTACAGATGAAACTAGAATCGACACCCTGAAACATTTCAATTGAACACTGTCTCGTCTTAGCGGCAGCTCACTTTTTAGCATTCCTTCTCCAGAAGAACAAAGCCTTTCGAAGTTCAGCATATGTTATGATAACAACAATAGAGTTTAGAGTCGAATGAGTAGTACCAACCATAAGGGACCACCAGGAAATTTCTGGAATTTTTTAAACGCCTGAAATGTCTGAACACAACCCTTCAACCCACTTTGCGAATATTCGGTTGGGATTAAAACTGTGAGAAGAACAACAAACGCTGGGAAGAAGGAAATTGGGGTGGTCATAAACTGAAAATATAGACATTTGGGTTCATTACTACAGTACTCCCCCACCTGCATAATCAAGCTCTTCAATGCAGTTTTATGTTTTGCAAGTGTTTTACTGGAAATTTGGCTCGCATTATCATTCAATGTTTTGTACATTCGCAGAACTAAAATTGACACGATTACTGTAGCTTTTGCAGTCCCAATAGTGGTTAGAACGAAAAATGTAATCAACCAATTGTTCAAAATATAATAGTGAAATTCACGAAGAGCACGAAAATTCGGAGCAACTTCTGGGTAGAGCTGTAATTTTTAGTTTCAAGAAAGACTGTAGAAAGAGTCAAATGAACTTTCTCAAGCTCGGCAATTTGCTTTTCTTTACTAACGCCACTCATAAATACTGAAAATGCAATCGAGCAAGTAAAAAGAATACAACCAGTATAAAATATGGGATATTTCCAATTAGTGGCTTTAGATAGGTTTCTAATATTCATCACAGCTTTGTGTTTTCTTAAAAAGCAAATAGTGAGAACCTCAATTTGACCGCTCATCAGGAATGTGTAAATTGTCTGAAATTGATAACTTTCAAATGTAAGATTTTATATTAAAAAAGACCATTAAAACATGAGAGGACCAATTGAAAAATCTTGAAGCAATTCCATTACAGTATCCAGCACAAATTGGAAATAAACCAACCGGCTGCATAAAAACAGTAATGTTCGAGTCAGATATTATGCACACCACCTGAAATTAAATGACAATAGCACCTCTCTTAGAAGGACGTCTCCAGATTTACGATATTCGAAACATCACTTTCAGAACTTTTGACATACTTGAAAAGTGAGCAAATAAAATCTGAAAGTATCGAGTTTTCCACTATGAAAAACTATGAGATAGACAACCAATAAGTTTAGAATGAGAGCTATTGATCCAGATATATAATAATGAATGATTAAATGATAAGGGACTTCGAAATCTATGTTGAGGGTTCCCATGAGTTTTTGATACAATTTTTGTTCCGGAGAAATGAAAAAAGAAAGGTATTTAATGAGAAATTTACAAGTGGCTTCTAATTTCACCTGGTGGAAGCAAACAAAATAATAGTTTTTAATCAAGCCAAGCAGCTGAAATTGCATCAAGTCTCAGAGATCACACAGTTTCCGGGCAAATACTCATTAGCTTGATGATCTTTTGCTAAATGCTCACTTGCAAAATATGCTCATTTGCTAAACTCGCTCATTTGCTAATATAGTCCCACTTGCTAAATTTCATTTGCTAAATAGAGGATTTGTTCAAATTGAAGGCTTAGGCTGAAACTTCTTACCGGAAAACAGGTGTTTAAGCCTAAGCCTAAAATGTAAAGCAAAAACCGGAATATTCTGTAAAAAATTCAGACAAAAAGTACTGAAATTAGCAAATAACAGCAAAATTTCCACTTTTTCATTTTAAGCAAATGATAAAAGTTTAGTAAATGAAATTTAGCAAGTGAGACTATTTTAGCAAATGAGCGAGTTTAGCAAATGAGCATATTTAGCAAGTGAGCATTTAGCAAAAGATCATCAAGCTAATGAGTATTTGCCCGGAAACTGTGTGATCTCTGAGACTTGATGCAATTTCAGCTGCTTGGCTTGATTAAAAACTATTATTTTGTTTGCTTCCACCAGGTGAAATTAGAAGCCACTTGTAAATTTCTCATTAAATACCTTTCTTTTTTCATATCGCCTGCACAAAACATTTGCCCAGTTTCCGTCATTTTTCGATCAAAATATTTCGAATTTCTTATGAATTTCATTCATGAAATTACTGATTAAATCAGATTTCACTTGTTGTAGATTACCGTACTTCATCTATTATCATTATTGGAATCACCTGTCATCTAATTTTTTTTTCTAGAGAAAGCGAACATTTTGGAGTATAACATCCCATATGACGCTTCTGTGCTACTCTTACTGTATATGCACACATGGAGTATTTTTGGGAATTCCAAAAAAAATTTTTTTTCGCGACCTATAAATTTTCGGATTTTCGCGACCTGTCGGCCAAAAAAAGGTCGCCTAAAAAAAATTTTTTCCCGCGCTGTCGGCTAAAAAAACCTTTTTTATAATTCATTTTAATCAAAAAATTCAATTATCATTAAATTACGTAAATTGTAACCAATTCTACCATTTCGTCGAACGAGTAGAGTGCCGAGTCGACTCGAAAATCGATGATTTTTGTCGACTTTGAAAATCGACACAGTCGACATTCAACAATTCGACAAGGCTATTTGTCGATGAAAATCGAACTTTTCGTTGTCGATTTTGCGTCGACGGAAATCGACAGAAATCGACAAGAATCGACTTTTGTCGATTTTGCGTCGACTTAAAATCGACAGAAAAATCGACAAAAAGGCGACAAAAGTCGACGAAAAATCGACTTTTCCGGACTTCAAAGTAAAATTTCACCTCGAGAATTTTTTTTCTAATTTTTTGAAGAAATCATTTTTTGTGTAGAGTAACAACTTTATTTTTACGAATAAAAAAACAAATAGTGTAAAACTTAATTACAACGGGGTACAAAATAGAGAATCAGTATGTCTCACAGTCAGAAGATGGCAAGGAAAATAGAAGAAACATTAAAGCGACAAAATTTTGAAAAAGAGAAGAAACAGAAGAACAAAGTTTAGCATTAGGAATTAATGTTTCATTATTTGGGCCAAATCGCTTCCAAAAGTATCATCGTTATGCTCTCTGGATTCGTAATATTCCACGCCTTTTGAGTCATCATTCTCGTCATCATATTCGTACTCTTCTGTTGTCGACGTATTCTTCTTCGTAGATCTGAAGAAAAATCAGATTTTGAGGAAAAATAAGCTTTAATATCTTACTCCAAAGTGATTTTTTTCCAATTATTTGATGCCGTGGCTCTTGATCTTTATGTACTATCTAAGATTAAGAATTTAACGAAAAGTATATAATTTTCTGCTTACCGATCTTTCCATTTCTACAACTTCTTTCTCGTGGTGACTGTTTAAGTGCTGATGCATCGTTGTGGTCGAAGGAACTTTATGCTCCTTCCGCACAGTTTACAGGTCACAGTTTGTCCATTATTTTGTTTTTCGAAGTATCGCCACGCTTTAGATTGATTTTGTGACGAATTCATCTGCAATAAGCAAGAATGTGATAAATAAAACAGAAAAAAACAAAACACCCAAAAAAAACAAGAAAAATACGGGTTTTCAGTGGAAAATTCGATGAAAAATGCCTGTTTTTCATGAAAAATACCCCGGCCACAGGCAGTTTCTAGGTCACCGGCCGTGTAGTCCTTTCGAACAATAAAGTCGACAAAAGTCGATTTTTTGTCGATTCAAAATCGACAAAAATCGACTTTTGTCGTTTTTCACTTTCATCGACTTTTGAAAAGTCGATTTTCTGTCGACTTTTTGAATGCCGATTTTTGATCGAGTCGACAGAATCGACACCGATTTTAGCGATTTTCGTCGATTTTTGTCGATTGTCAACAATCGACACAGCACACTACGAACGAGCGACCTCCCATTACCAGTCGCCCGCGCTATACACAATAGCGCTCAGAAGAGACGCAGAGAAACGGTCTCTCCGCACCTCCCCTTCATTGAAGTTTGAGGAGGGAGCGCGCACCACGCAACTCGTCAATATTACACACGTTTCACATAATTTACGCAAACTGTTTAAAACAGTTTCGTAAATAACAACCGCCGGGACACCATTTGAAACAAATTCGCGACCTAATTTCACACAAAAATATCATTTGAGAAATGCTCGCCGGGCACATTGTATTTTCAATTGGGAAATGGCACTTTTTCCCAATGAGTGGTTTGGTGGAAAAAATGCGTGCTTCAGCTTGATTTTTTTTCAAACTGAATATTTTTCGATGAGAAACACGAATATAACAGTCGCGACCTATGTTTTTTGCCTCCTAATACGAGTTCCGGCCGAATTTTAGCCTTGATTACTGTACCGATTTCCCAAATGTCGTTTCAGTGGAAAAATTTGCCTTTTTAGGTGACGATTTTTTTCATCTGAATATTTTTCGAAGACAAATACGACTATAACATTCGCGACCTACGTTTTTTGCCTCCTTATACGAGTTTCAGACGGATTTTCGCCTACATTACTGTAGCTAATTTAAAATCGGTTTTTTATCTGGAAAAATAATTGTGTATATATAATTCCCTTTTTTTTGACACAATTAAAAAAAGTTCCTTTCGGGAAATTTCTTTTTTTTTTCGCGACCTCTTTCTCCAGACCATTTTTCGCGACCTAAAATTCCCACATCTCCTCATGTGTATATGTACTGAAGATGTGTGAAACCATTTAATTTCAGCCAATTTATCTCGCTTCCTGTGAGTGGTATCATAAAGTAGTAAACTGACAAAATGTTTATCATAATCTCACTAATATTTTGTCAATTGACTACTTTTTGATATCTTTCACAGCAATTGAGATAAAATGACTCAAAGTTGAAAGTGAAGGCAACTACTTTTTTGAACTTCTGACGACTATAATGACAAATCTATATCTCATGTTCCAGAACGATCCTCAATAGAGGCACAAAACCTTTTTTTTTGTTTTCGCATTTCTTGAAAAAAAATTTCCTGACCATTTTTTTCTTTCCAATCACCTCATTCATCTAAACTTCTTACTCCAAGGTCATTATCATAAAAGAAAAAAAAACCATTCCAATTCTCTCGTTCTGTCCTCTGTGTCCCCAAATTTTTTATAATTATCAATTCTCGATCAGCAACACAAAAAAAAGAAGAAAAAGGAGAAGACGTCGTTATCGCTCTCCACCTACATTACTTCTGTTTTCATTGGGAATGGCGATTGTTTGTGGATGGGGATGGTTGTCTTTAGATCATTTAGTTTTCGATAAGAGACTAGACTTTTCTTTTTGATATTTTTTTGCAGTTTTGAGTTTTTGGCTTTGTGGGATTTGAGCTCAATTAGAAAAAAGGTTTCGGTCTCATTTCCCTGTTTTTTTCTCTGATAGAAGCCCATGTACACTTTGAGCTCAATTATTTAGGTTCCTTTGAGAGATATCAACAATTTGTAAACTAATTAAATATTGCTGATATTATGATAAATAATTTATCAGTTGACTCGTTTTTGATATTTTTTATAGGAACCGAGATAATCGAGCTCAAAGTTTAAGTATTGGGTGGGCTTCTTAAAGATAACAAGACTATTTGACATTTCCTGTTCTTTAGCTCTTATTTTGTTTTAATACAAAATGAGTTTTTTTCAGAATGGCGGACTCTAAACGGGTCCTCGAAGAGGGCGGAGCCGTAGAGCCGGCAATCAAAAAGAAAGGATTGGGCACTAGAATCAATCGAATGATGGATAAGGCTTTGACAAGAGGTTTGGTATTATTGTGATATCAAAAAATCGGAACCTTGGCAGAGAAACACCGGTGGACGTGGCCGAAGGTCCCACAGCGACAACTACCGTATTTCCTTTAATAGAAGCCCACCTAAACTGTCAACTTTCAGCCAATTTATCTCGATTTCTGGGAGAGGTATCAATGAATTGTCAACTAAAAAGTTATTTATCATAATATCACCAATACTTTATCAGTTAACAACACTTTGATCTCTTTCACAGAAATCGAGATAACAGAAATCGAAACATCAAAATTGACAGTTTAGTTGGGCTTCTGTTAGAAGAAATACGGTATTTTTAGGTTATCGTAGTGTTTGTTGTGGAACCTTTGGCCACGGCCACCTCTGAAATTTTGGAGCTTCAAAGCTCCGAGAATCCGAAAATATTCAATTTCGAAAATCTGGAAATCTGAAAAATCGAAATTCTGAAAATCTTAAAATTCCAAATTCAAAAATATTCAATAATTTCCAGCCTCATTCGATGAAGAAATGGACGAGGAAATCTCGTCTGGCTGCAACATCATCTTCACCGTTCTCACTGTTTGTCTTATCATTTTTGGAGTGGCAAGACGAGAGGAATGCGATGGTCAACCAATGATTCCAGTTTTCATTATTGTTTTGGGTTGTTTGTGGCTGGCGAAAGATATCATTGAGAGGTTGAGAAGGAAATATGTGAGTTTTGGGAGAAAAGGGACCGAATTTTAGGTATAAACCCTGAAAATACAATGGAATTGTCAGATCGTTTTTGAATTATTTTCTGTTGTTTTTTTTAAGAAACAGGTATACCTTTCAAAAATATGTCAAAGTTAGATTTCTCAACTACAGAACTGAACGAAATTTAAAAATACAGGCTGACGCACAATTACCCCGACTTATAAAAATGGGTATATCTCTGGACATAAGTGTCTTGAAATCACGAAAATTGACAGAAATATAATTTTACGTTTGATTCAAGGCTGCTTGGATTTTGAAAAGGTTTCCTTGAGTCTAGGTCATGTTATGGTTGTCCAAAGATGAGAGTTTCTTGCACGCTGTTGTGATTTTTATGAGATGAAGCAATTTTGACAAGCAATAATTCAGTTCAAATTTCATCAAATGATTTGAAATTTGGCCAGTTTACTCATTGATTTTTTTATATTTTTGCACTTAAATATTGAGCTCAGTACAACGTTTTACTCAAATGTTATACTAGTACAAAATTTAGTCCGGATAATTATACGCCACCCTGTAATCGGACATAATTACTACTTACTTTCACTACTTTTTACAAGTCTAAGATTTTTACTTTTTACTGAAAATTAATAGATTTTTTAAGCAAAGAAAGCGCGAATCCCCATTGCCAAGTGAGGATGGAGAGGAGAGAGACAAAATTGGAGAATCCGGATTCCCATTGCCATGCGGATACATTCATTTCTTGTTGAATGGAGCTATTTTTGTTTGGTAATATTTTCAGAATTCGGAATTTCAGACTTTTAAATTTGGAAATTCTAAACCGCCAGGAGAATTTCCTCTCATTCAAGCTAAACACTAACTTTGAGCTCAATTATCTCATTTTCTGTAAAAGATATCAACATTTTTCAACTAATAAAATATTGGTGATACTGTGATAAACAATTTATCAGTTGACAAAATTGTTGATATCTCTCATGGGAATCGAGATAGTAGAGCTCAAAGTTGACGATTCAGATTCCCAAATTTCTGAAATTTTCCAGGTTCCTATTCGGCTGCTACTGGGTATTTGGCTCCTGGACCGCCCGTGCCTACTGTGACTGGTGGACCTTCCATCTGGCTGCTTTTTATCTCATTTTCTCAATTTTCTGCCTAATCATGGGACTTTTCTGTTGTCTGATAAGATGAACTGATTTTTTTTTTGGTTTCTTAGAATAAAGATTTTCAACGTGAACTCGATAATTTTTGACTTAAATTTATCTTCTACGCACGATCCAGCCGACATACACCCATAATTCCAGAGTCGAATCCATATTTCCAGAGATTAGAAATTCAAAATGTGCAAAATTACAGCAGGTAATTAACTTTGTTCTTCAGCTAATTAGGTTCGCTTTTCAGCTCTATTTTTCACTTTTATCCCGGTTTTCATTTGCCAGTATCAGCGAGATTTTTTCGTGTTCACTGCTCATCTGATTTGTGATTTCAAACAGTTTAGCTATAGGATTCAATATTTCGAGGAGGACTTGTAAGAAAAAAAAACATTCAAGAAAGTTCTAGAATAAGGCTTCCCTTTGATCGGGAAGTTTAGCCGACCGAACGATAGCCGACCGATCGGCCAACTCTGTCGGCGGTCGGTCGGCTCTGTCGGAGTTTGGCCGGCTCGGTCAGCTCGGTCGGAGGTCGGGCGGTTGGGTCGGCGGTCGGTCGGCTAGGTTGGTAATCGGTCAGCTCGGTTGGCTGTCGGTCAGCTGGGTCGGTGGTCGGTCGGCTAGGTCGGCGGTCGGTCGGCTAGGTTGGTAATCGGTCAGCTCGGTCGGCTTGGTCGGCGGTCGGAGGTCGGAGGTTGTCCGGCTCGGTCAGCTCTGTCGGAGGTCGGGCGGCTGGGTCGGCGGTCGGTCGGCTAGGTGGGCAGTCGGTCAGATCGGTTGGCTGGCGGTCTGCTGGGTCGGAGGTCGGCTCGGTCGGTGGTCGGGGGTCGGCCGGCTCGGCCGGCTGGGTCGGCGCTCGGTCTGCAGTCGCCGATTTTCGGCCGACCAAAATGGAAGCCCTATTCTAGAAGAATGTGTTTTGTAGATTTTTCCATCCGGACAACATGACAAGATTTGATAATATTGGATTGGCAAAACAAGGGCAAGCCATTGCGAATAATTTTGGAGTCATGTATGGAGATGGATTTATGGATGTAGGATTTGTTTTAAATCTGGAAATCCTAACTTCTTTTCAGAAAAACTATGAAATATACGCTTTAATTACGCATAATTGTACGAAGAATCGGAAAAAGATGAAGCAGTATAAACATGATTTGGAGACATGTTCAACGGAGAAAAGGTAAGAATTTGGAGATATTGAAATTTGAAAATTCAACTTTAATATTTTCAGTGGATGCCGAAAAAAATTCAAACTGAATATCACTGAATTGGGCGATGAGGTGAATACGGAGAGTGTTGAGAACGTTAGTATTTGAAAAATCAGAAATTCAGAAATCCAATTTTTTCAGTGGTTGACGAAAAAATCCGAATTTAATATCACTGAATTGGGTGATGAGGTGAAGCCGGAGAGCATTTGGTGAAGTTCATATTCTTTATGATCTTTAATTCTATATCGAATAAATCTTTAATTGAAATTTTGTATTTTATTTAAAATCGATTTTCAAGGAGAAATAAAAAACGAGATCGCAAAATCGACAAGAACCGGGGGTCAAATTAAGAATTCAACATTAAAAATCGTTGATATAGGCACAGAACCCGTTTTTTAAACTAATTAAGTCGTATTAATTAAGTCTTTGGAATTCGATTATTCTTATTTGGAAACGTTGAACTCATTCGGATGTCTGCTATTGTTGTTAGCCGTCTTGCTTCTTTGGAATGCCGGATTCCATAGGCAAAGTAGATTAGAAGTCCTGAAAATTGTCAGTTTAGATATGAAGTTATAGGTCAAAACTCACCAACACCCATCCATACAAATAGCCGAAGCCACGTGGCAGATGTGAGATAGGACATCATGAAAACGTTGACAAGGAGGGAGAGACAAGGAAGGAATGGCACACAAGGAACCTGAAAGATAACTTCTGATGTATAGTCCGGACCAAATATTTTGACTTCTTCCGTGGAAGATAGTTAACTCTGAAGCCGTGAAACAATTGCCCAAATGTTTTGTTTTAGCGGAAATCGAGAGATTCAGAAGTTCTCAAATTCAAATATTCAAAAATTTAAAATCTCAAATGTTCAGAAATTCGAGAACCATAGAAGGAGTACTCACCTTGAAATTAGTCTTCAACGAATTTTGAGAATGTCCCAAAATAAATGCCATTATCAAAACTATACACAATCCATTGAATCCAACCGACACCTGACCATACCAACTTTCATAGAAACCAGTTCTAAATGTGAACGAGAGCCAGAAAAAGGAGGCTATCAATGCAGCAACAGCTAGAGATATGGATGTTCCAGATGGAAGAGATTCCCAAAAGTTTCGAGCAGGAATCCATGAGCTTAATTCTCCACCACCATCCATTCGTTTTTCATCTCCGTCGATCGGAGCGGATTGATAGCGAAGGACAAGGACAGAAGCGGAGACGAACGAATATGCAAAGAGGGTTCCGATTGAGAGGAATTCAACCTGTAAAAGTGATCAATATTTGATGAGATAGAATTGGGGATCTTATTTCGGTTGATCGAAAATCAGCGACCGCCGACCGACCGCCGACCCAGTAGACAGACAGCCGACCGAGCTGACCGATCGGACGGCGCGCCCACCGAATTCATGCAATTTCGCGTCAACCTGACAGAGAGCATTTGCGTACGCAGAATTTTAATTTAAGACACACTATTCAGTAAATGCGCTGGGTACGCAAACAATCTGGAATATTGACGCGCAAATGCAAGGATTCGGTGAGCAAGGTTGGGTTGGCATTCGGTTGGTCGGCCCGATTTCACGACCTAAATTTATGTAGGGCACAGTACCGAATCAAAGTACAGTACATGTTAAAGTACGAAGAGATACCGTATAAACCAACTCACCAATGCCTCAATATCAAAAACCAGCGAAATGACCGCATTGATCAATGTAAACACCACAATTGCGTTCAATGGAACCTTTGTATACGAATTTACTTGTGCCAACCATCCAAAAAGAAGACCATCATCTGCCATGGCATAAACAGCTCTTGGTAGAGCAAAAACTCCAGTGACCAAATTGTTGGATAGTCCGATTAGGGCTCCAATCGAGATGATGTATTTGACTACGGTACATCCACGAGCATCAAACGCTTCGGCGAATGGTGCAGTTGTATGGACCTTCAAGGAGCGAGTTTTGGAGAAGGAACAAGTTTGAAAGAATCAAAGCTTACCTGGTCATACGGAACCATCAATGTCAATGTGGAAGATACTAAAATGTAGAGAGTCATAATGACTCCGATACTCAGAAAAGTGGCAACAGGAATGGTTCGGTGGGGAGCTGGAAAACGGGATAATTATCTTTAATTTTCCTAATTTCAACTTTGAGCCAACATATCTCGGTTCCTGTCAAAGATATCAAAAAGTGGTCAACTGATACATTGTTCATCATAATATCACAAACATTTAATCAGTTGGCAAAATTTAGATATCTACAATGGCAATTGAGATAATTGAGCTTACACTTAGCAGTCTGAGACCCCTTTTAGGTTTTACGGTACGCTTACATTTAACTTCCTCTCCTGCGGTTGCCAAAACCTCAAAGCCGATATAGGAGAAGAAACATGTGGCAGCACCGGTAAGCGTTCCAGTGACACCATATGGGAAAAAATTGGATCGACCATCGGAAGTGGTACCTGTCCAATTGTTGAAATCAGCATAGCACATTCCAGAGATGATGACGATGGTAATGACCTGAATTATAGTAGTATTGGATTAATGCTTCTACTTCGGTCGGTTGAAGATTGGTCGCCGCCGAACGAGCCGACCGATCGCTCGACCGGTTAAATTTTCCAACCGAATGGAACCTTAACACAGTTCCAATAAGATATACAAAAACATATTTTTTAGCAATTTTGAGCATTTTCAGGAGTCTGGAGCTAGGCTGTCAAGTTTCCAATCAGCTTGAAAATTATGGAGGATGTAAAACAGACCTAGATTTAAAACTTTGCATTCACAGAATTTTTTGGAAATTCCTAGTTTTTCAGTTATTTATCGATTTCTGAAGGACACCTTTTTTCACATTTTCAGTACAAATTAAAGGGGTGTCTTTCAGCAATCGTCAAATATCTGAAAAACTAGGAATTGCAAAATGCAAAGTTTTCAATCTAGGTCTGTTCTACACCCTCCAAAATTTTCAAAGTGATCGTAAACTTGACAGTCGAGTTCCAGGCTCATGAAAATGATTTTTTAAAAACCGAGAATCAACTGAAAACGGTAGATCTATAAAACTTACAATAATATTCAAGACCACAAAACTTGTATTCACATGTGCTGAAACTTTGGATCCAATTCCAATCACAATGGCACACAGACAAATCAAAATGAATGATAGAACATCTGGATATGTAGAGAAGAATCCGCCGGGCTACAAATTTTTCATTTTTTGGTCATTTTCAGATAATTTCTTACCTCCCCCATCTCTCCCACCAATCCAATCGTTGTATTTTTCACATAATTGTCCAGAAGATTATCGAAATATGCGGACCAGGAGCGAGCAACAGCTGAAAATATGTGGTAAAGGTAAAAAGGGGCGGAGCCTATTTATTTTTTTCCTTTGACTGGCTGTAACTTTGACTAAAAGCGAAGAATCGATATGAAAATGTGTTTCATTCAAATATGTAACTAGTTTTAATCTGAAAGATTTGAAAAAAAGAACTCACCAGCATTCCCAATCATGTACTCAAGTGGGATGGTCCAGCCAACAATAAACGCCCAGAGTTCTCCAAATCCAATGTAAGTGTAGGTGTAGGCACTTCCAGCTCGTGGGAATCTGAAATTAGACCAGGATTTTCAAATTTTCTAACAGGGTAGATCAATAGATTGAAGATTTCGATTTTTGTATGAAAAGCCAATCTTTTGTATGATAAAGAAATCAGTCAGTTTTCGACCAAATTTTAAACTTTAAAAATATTTTTTTTTGGCTTGTTGCGAGCTTCAAAATAAGTATAAACATTGCTAGGGTTTCTCAATTTTTAGATTTTCGACTTTAAAGGCGCATGAGAGGAGTCGGAATTCAAAACTCTGGAAATTAGGTCATGTTTATACTCATTTTAAAGCTCAGGCCAAGCTTATCAGAAAAGTGATATTGATTTTTGTAATCTTCGACATTGTGAAAATACTATTTCAATTTTGAAATAAGTTTTCTCGGTTCCTGTAAACGATATAAAAAAGTTGTCAACTGGCAAAATGTTCATCATATAATATCAGCAATATTTTATCAGTTGATATTTTTTTGATTTATTTGACAGGGACTGAGATAAATAGGCTCTAGGTTAAAAGTTAGTGGGTCTTTCTATTAGAGGTTTTACGAATCACTCACCTCGCTCCAAATTCCGCATAACTAAACGCAGAAAGCAACGCTGCGATTCCAGCCAAAATGAATGAAAACACAATCGATGGTCCCGCCTGATTTCTGACTACAGTACCCGTGAGCACATATATCCCAGCTCCCATCATTTGACCCAAAGCCAAAAATGTGATATCCATAAGACCAAGACATCTGCGGAGGTTTGTGTCCAAATGGGAGTCCCCTTCAAATCTTTTCTTCCGCGTTATCGCTTTCCAGATTCGTGTTGTCATTTTTAGTGCTGAAAAGGGCAAAAGTTTTAGAAAACCTGTAATAGAAGGGCTCCCACATTTGAGCTCGATTATATGGGCTCCTATAAGAGATAGCAAAACTGTGTCAAATGATAAAATGTTTCTGATATTCTGATAAACAATTTACCAGCTGCCACATTTTCTATATCTTGCATAGGAATTGAGATAATTGAGCTCAAACTTGACAAGGTGGGGGCCCTTCTAGTGAAGGTTGTTTCGAAAAGCCGGAAGATCAGTGACAAGAATATGAAACTTGGAATGAAGATTCCGAAGTACAAATGAGAAATGCTATGGAAAAAGTTAATAACAGAAGAGAGAAACTTCCTGTTCGAAACTTATGAATTCTTTTATTTCTGAGAAAACAAAGAAGACGTTAGAGACTTTTGATTCTTGAAGAGACGTAGAGTAGCAAAAAATCACCGAAGACACTTTCACTTTTTCGTATTCCTTTTCTAACCATATCTGTGAAGAACGGAATTTCTCTTTTTTTCTCTTTTTTTTTGGCTTTTTTGGGTATTGTTCAGGACACAATGAAAAGTGTGAAAATTTCTTACTGGGTTTTTTTTCATGGAAAAAATGTTTCAAGGTACAAAAAAGTGGTATATCGTGTTTACACAAAAATTTTGACAGGAGAAAAAAAGTTTGATTCGGACAAGATGATAGATATTGATAGGTTTGTAATCAGTGATTTACAAAAGAGAAAATGAGGAAGTGAAAAGAAAAAAGATGATAATGATAGGAAGCGGTTTTATGGTTTTTAAAAACTCTTGGTTATCGAAAAACCTGTAAGGATTATCGGAAAATTTGTAAGGACATAATAGAAGGATCTCCCTACTTTTAACTTTGACCCAATTATCTCGGTTCTTATCATAGATATCAAAAAGTCGTCAACTGATAAAATGTTTATCATAATACCAGCGAAATTTTATTAGTTGACCGGTTTTCAACATCTTTTACAGAAATCGAGACAAATTGGCTCAAAGTTGAATGTTAGAGGGCCCTTCTATTACAAGTTTTACAGTATTTTTTACATTTTCATGAATTTAAGAACGCAAAAATTACAAATGTTTAGAAAAAGTTGTTTTTCGAAGAAAATAGAACTTCTCATGTCTAAAGTTAACAAACTGATGTTATTGAAATCAAACAAGAAACATGTTGATTACAAAAAAGAAATGTGTTGATTTCTTTTAGAAAAATGTCACCGTTCGTCGAAAAAAAGGGTGGGAAAAACAAAAAAATTTGGAACGAACTTAATACTTTTTTTCAGTTTTTCTAACTATCAATAAATTAGGTCAAAGTTTGAAAAATTGGAAAATAATACGCCCTCCATGTCTTCCTACCCCCATGCCCTCCAAACCATTAACTTTGAGCTCATCTCGGTTCCTGTGAAAGATATCAAAAAGTGGTAAACTGATAAAATGTTTATCTTAATATAAGCTACACAGGAACTGAGATAAATTTGTTCAAACTTGGCAGTTTGGGTGGGCTTCTATTAAAGGAAATACGACAATGCTTCCAAAACTTTGAGACTATATATCTTATTTCCTGTAGAAGATATCAAAAAGTTGTCAACTGACAAAAATTTTATCATAATGTCAGCAACATTTTATCAGTTAATCACTTTTTGATATCTCTCACAGTAACCTAGGTAAATTGGCTCAAAGTTAAAAGTAAGAAGAGGAGGGCGTGTCATTATTAGAGTATTTATGGTATATTTTACTAAACAAGGTCAAAGTTTTTTAAATTTAAATGAAAAAGTAAATTGAAAAATTCAAAATTTTTAAATCCAAAAAAATCAAAGGATGACTTCTGACTCAAATCTAATGAATCACAGAAACTTCCGGCATCCTGGAAATGTGTTTTTCCTTGGCGTTCGGCCATTTTTGTTAAAATGTAAATACGAAGAAAAAAGATGAGTCACAAAGAAAAGTTTTCTTGAAACTTGATGAAATTAGATTCCAATCAAAGACGAAAAATTGACACAATTAAGCGCGAAAAATCAAAAAAGTCACATGTTGTCAAATTTCCGGTAGACAACACCCCAACTAATTTGATGATTGATAAGGGCAATTAGGGTGTTTTTACATTAAAAAGATTGAAATTGAATCTTGAAATTTGAAATTTAGAAACTTTTAAAATTTTGGATTTTGTGTTTGGTTTGCGGACTCTTGGCATTCTCTAGGTATCTTGGCATTTCAAAATTTCAAAGTTTGGTAAATCTAGGAATCTAGCATTTTTTGAAAGTTGAAAGTCTTAAGCCAAGAATCTAGAACACAAAATTTCTAAAAAATAAAAAGCATCCAACAGTATAAAAAACGAAGCATCTGGAGGTAAAAAAAAGAGAAAACCGGCATGCCATGGTCACAAAGACACCAATTTCCTTCCTTTGACTTTTTCTTTCTCCCATTCTAATTTTCTGTATCTCTAAATCTCTTCAGAATATTCAATATCTCGTTTTTCGTTTTCTTTCCGATCCGTTTGTATCCACTGTGAGGCTATATAGGACAGGGAGGAAAAAGGATATCGGAGAAAATACATGTAATTTTGTAAATGGAGAAGAAGAAGAGGAAGAGGAAAAGGAAAAGTTGTAATTTTTGTGAAATATATAGATATGGACGGTCGGCGGATAGCGAAATGTATCAATTTGAAATCGGGGGAAGGTTTAGAAGGTTCAGAGAGGAAACAAAAGCAAGCGTGAAAGCATGTATACAACTAGTAATAAATCTGGGCAAAAAGATTCCGTAGTTTTTGAGATATGCGCCTTTAAAGAAGGGAGGGAGACGGTCTTGTTGTCTGCTATCTTTTTCAAAGGCGAATATCTCAAAACTACGGTAGTTACAAAAAAGTTTTCAACTACAAAAATAGAGCTCTATTTATGTTAAATATTTTTTCAGTTTTTTATAGCGAAAAAAATTGCGACCGGCTCATACAATTACCGGACAAACGTCAATTGATTTTACCTATTTTCAGTTCAAAATACCAAACTTTGAACCTCTACGAAAAGTGGTCCAGATTTTTTCGATTTGTCTGGAAATCACAGAGTATACTAAACCAATATAGAGCTACAATTTTGTAATTGACCGTTTTTTTTGCATAATGTCATTCAGATGAGATAAGCCGTTTGAAAATGTCTTGACTGCACTATTTTTGAAGGTTTTGGCACTTGGTTGGTTTCAAGCGGTTTATTTCATTTGAATGATTTTGTACAAAAAAGTTGCCAACTACAAAATTGAAGCACTATTTTTGTTTAATAGATTTTAAAAGTTCCAGTGTCATCCGACAAAATCTATTAAGTTTTTTAGGCTTTTAAAATTGAGTTGTTTCAACAAAAAATAGACAAAATTAATATACTTGTTTTAAGCTAGTACTGTTCCTTCAAAATCAGTTTTTGAGAGAAGTAGAAATGTAGAAATTTAGAAATTAATTAGAAGGATGTCAAGTTCAACGAATTTAGAACAAATGAATTCCCTAAGGGGACCTTTAAAGGCAAGAATCCACGGGTTCACAGCAACGGGTCGAAAACCGAGCCCCAGAAAACTTTTAGGCCATGCGAAATTAAATAATTTAAAAGTTGACGTGGATTTGACCTATTTAATTTCAATCAACGCACTGCAACGCTTGCTTTTTTCGCTCAACGTTTTAAAGTTTGATCCTCAGCCAACGAAATTTGACTCGTTGCGAAATTATTTTTGACGTTCGCTGGGGCGCGTTTGCCGACCAGGTTCTTTGAAATAGAGTGAGGTTCATCTAAAATTTGCTGGCAAACAACGAGAACCTGTAGTCGTCTCACAGTAATAATATTATGAAACCGAACTATTTATGTATGGGAACTTGGAGGACGCAAATTTTTCCCTCGTGGTTTGCCAAATCGTTTTTATGCAAATCATTTGTTGACATGAATTTCTGCATAGTTTTGAGGTCAACTCGATACGTGAAAATGTTCATTTTTACGTTTTTTTTTGGTATTTTGTAGTTATTAAGAAAAACTTTTTTGAAAGTTTCAAACTTTAAGATACAAAGAAATTGGTTTATGAAGAAAGGTCGATTTGTTGTAAATTGGATTTTTCTGATTACAAATCAGTTTGAAATGATAAGTTTCTATAAAAATTAAAAAAAAACTAGAAATCTCGAAAGCTTAAAAAAAGAGGCACTCTTCTAAAATTCTGACCCAACTATCTATCTGATAACCGTTTGATAATCATTCAACGTCATCGATTTTTAGTATTCAATGTGTTCTAGTCTTCTTCTCTCATCAACACATCATTCTGACCCCCTAATCACGTCATACCCATCCAAAAAACAATAGAAAATCGAAATACTCAAAAATCAAACATGGAAAATAAGAACAAAGTTTTGTGGATTTTTAAAGAAAGCTCTGAAAAATTCAACATCCGTTGAACTTTGTTCTTCAATCATAGAACAGTTATATATACCTAAATTTTCTCTCTCTCTCTCTCTCTCTCTCTCTCTCTCTCTCTCTTTATCTTTCTCTCATTCTGATATATCAAAACCAACAGGAAGTGAAATTTACTGATAATTTATGACTTTGGCAAAGCTATTAATCACTCGGTAATTAGATGAACCGATTGGCACAGTTCTCTTTTTTTTCTGAAAGAAAAAAAAGAAGTCGTAAAAAGGATAGATCTCGGACAGAATAAGAAAACTACTGTGACCTATTGAAAACACTTGTCATAAAGTTCTGTTCTCGTTAGAGGAAAAGGAGTTAGCGGTAGACTAATAAAACAGTCGGGGACATCAAAAAGAGGAAGGTAGTGATGAAATCTGATGATACTATTTTTGAGGACAAGAAGAAGTTAATTTTAGGGTTTTTAGACTTTACATACCTTTAACAAATCCTAGAAGGCCTTTACTTTGGACTCAATTATCTCTGTTCCTATGAGAGATTTCACAAATCTGTCAACTAATGAAATGTTTGTCACAATATCAGCAATATTTAATTAGCTAAAATGTTTCAGATGTCTCTCATAGGAACCGATATAGTTGAGCTGGAAGTGTAAGAATAGGATGAGATTCTATTTTGAAAATTGTCTACTTTGAATGTCTTAAAACATAGTAGATTTTGTCTGAGAAGCTTCAAAGTTTTAGGTCCACCAAACAACAATAGAGCTTCAATTTTGTAGTTGACAATTTTCTTGTAAAAATTCATCGAAATGAGATAAACCACTTGAAACCAACCGAGTACCAAAACTTCCAGAATTGACGTTGAGTTCATGATCATTACACTTTCAAGCGGTATATCTCATTTGGATGAATATTTGCAAAAAGTTGTCAACTACAAAATGTAAGCTCTGTTTTTGTTTAGTAGACCTGAAAAATTTCAGACTCGTTCGATCAAATCTGACGCCGAAATTCGACGATAAATCACATATTTGTTTTACTCAAACCGTCAACTTCGAGCTTATATATCTCAGTTCATATGATAAATATCAAAACTTTATCAACTAATAAAATTTTGATGATATTATGATAAACATATTATCCGTTGACAACTTTTCGATATCTCTCATAGGAACCGAAATATATAGGCTCAAAGTTGAACATTTCAGGAGCATTATATTAGATCTTTTACAGTAAATCACATAAAAGAAGTTCCAAATAACTCTAAAGCCACAAAGAACATTTCTTCCGACGAACTTTCCCTGATCTCTGGTTTCCTATAGGTTAAGATGCCGACTTAAAAATACAGTCGGCGATAATCTATGCATTTTTATAAATCAAAAGATCAGGGGGATTATTCTATTCTTTATTTTCTTTTTACTTCTCCAAACTTCCAGCCACCTGAACCGTCAACTTCGAGCTTAATTATCTCAATTCCTATAAAAGATATCAAAAATCTGTCAATTGATAAAATATAGGTGATTTCATGATAAACAATTTATCTGTTAACAAATTTTTGATATCTTCTGAAGGAGCCGAGATAATTGAGCTCAAAATTGAGAGCATTTGAAAATCTGAAAATCTGAACATTCGGAAAGAGAAAATTTCTTTTAAAAATTCATTGAATTTACACATTATGGACCAGAACCAGAAACAAAGTTAACAACCGATGAAATAAAAAAAAGAACATAGGGACGAGGGGAACAAAAAGCAATTAACACCATATAAAACGATTTGGGGGAAGAATCTTAGAATAAAGAAAGAAAGGACATGGAAATAGAAAAAGAAAAGCACATAGAAGACAGAAAAAAAAACGAAGAATTGGTCATAAAACCCGTGAAGACAGGAGAGGAGGAAATAAAATGAAATGATGGTGTGTGGAGGTCATGAGAACCATCAAAAAGAGAATAGTACAAAGAAATTAATTCCTGAGAAGATGGATTGAAGGGATTCAGAAGGTCAACTTTGAGTCTTTATATCTCGTTTCCTGAAGAAGATATCCAAAAGTGGTCAATTGATAAAATGCTTATCATTGAATTTTAATTATTTTGTCAGTTTACTAATTTTGAATATCTTTCACAGGAACCGAGATAAATTGGCTCAACGTTGGGATCCGTAAAAATTACATATTAAAAAGGACTGCAACTAGAAGAAATTATACATATAATGTGATTTTTGTAAGAAAAATAAAGCATCAATTTTTTCTTTTGAATGGATGAGGTTCTGGATATTGATGGCGTGATGAAGCGGGTAAATTCTCCGATCTATTCCAACGTTCGGAAAAAGGGAGGAGCTCGGAGGTGTTTTCTGGCTGAAATAAATTTGTGGTTTATTTGAAAACTATTTTTTAAAATCAAAATTTTCACTTTGACACCTTGCTGATCCCGTTAAACCTATTTAGAAGGGTCGGTCCTTCTATTTTTTCCAGCCATTTTCCGAAAGTTATCATCGAAACACTTCATGAAAATCTATCAATTTTACCGGAAGTGAGCAAAATTTTGAGCAAAAAAATTTTTTTCAACAAATTTCTGCGAAATTGTGGAATTTCCAGAGTTTTTTTTTTGACTGGAAATATACGGAAAATATTAATTTTAAACAGCGCATTTTGATGGGCACCCTTCTATTACAGGGGGCACTTCTAATACAGGTTTTACGGTATGTCGGATCAAAGTGTTTTATTAACACTGGTTAGCTTGGTTTATGCCAAAATATTGAAAACCCCTATGCACTTTGAGCTCAATTATCTCATTTCCTGTGAGAGGTATCAAAAATCCGTTAACTGATAAAATATTGGTGATATTATGATAATTATTTTATCAGTTGACAGATTTTTGACATCTCTCATGAGAACCGAGATAATTGAGCTCAAAGTTGGAATATAGTTGTCTCGTTCTTTCAAAAGGAAAACTGTTTTTTTCACCTTGATTTTTGTATCTTACTATTAGAATAAAAAGACTCAGAAACCGAAATAATCAAGGTGAAAACATTGAATTTCTAAATTTCATTTTTTTTTATTAAACGGTCGTTTCACTCACATTGTTTCTCGATTTTTCGATCTTTCTCTTTTCCTGAGGATTCCTTCTTCCCTTTGGCTGGTTGGTGAATGGTCTCCTGCTTCTTCTGGATGGTTGGGGCTCCTCCTGCACTTCTTCGACGTCTCCTATTTCTTTTTCTGCCTCGGTTTCTCTTCTGACCGGTTCATTCTGAAAAATGCACTTATTTTTAAGCTAAATATTGTTTGAAATGCCGTATAAAGATTTCAAATAAAGATTTTTTTAGCTGTTAGCTTCAGAATGAACATTTTGCAGGTGAACCTATGAAACTCACAGAAGATGTTTTTCTTTGGACTCAATTATCTCAATTCCTTTGAAAGATAACAAAAATTTGTCAACTGATAAAATATGGGTGATATTATGATAAACAATTTATTAGTTGGCAGATTTTTGATATCTCTCAAATAAACCGGCACTCTTCTAGAATCACGGAACGAAAAAAAAATCACGGAACGAAAAATAAAACCACGGAACGAAAAATAAAATCACGGAACGAAAATTTTGGGTAATCCAAAAATTGCTAGGACCTTCATTCAAGTACTATCCTGAAATCTAACCTTGACATTACATTTTTTTTGCTCAGTATCCAAAATGACACCCGAAATGTGGTATATTGAGTTCTTAAGGTACACTAGTTGATAGCGTACATGGTTAATAGGTTACATAGGACCTTTCCCAGATGTACTGAGAATCATGGGACATATGAGAGTTAGGTTAGAGGCTGCAACGAGCAGAGTTATCAAACCCCATCGTTTTTTGGGTGTCCCACATGAAGGAAACATGATGGTTCAGCCTAAGCCTATAATTGAAGAAATCTTTTCTAATTCAAAATTAGTCTTCTTGGGACAAAATATCGGTCCGGAATAAGAATAGTCTTGGGCGAAATTGAGTAGAAATCGTGGCATGAAATTTCTTGCCTCGGATTTTTCATTTTTCCAAAATTCGATGATATTTTTGGGTTGAGGAAGCTTTTTTCAACCACTTCTTTCAGGCTCTTTCAGGCTGAAACGCCATGCTTCTTTTATCTGGAACACCCTAAAATGTCAGCAAGCTCAATAACTGCTCGATGTAGCTTCAAACTGAGTTTTCAGATGTTCTACAGGTCCTATGTAACCTGTTAACTAGCGTATCTTAAGAAATTGATATACCCTTTTTAGTATACCTTGGGTATTGGAAAAAGTAAAATTGATGCCAAAGTAAGTATTACGGATACTACTCGTCAAACTAAAGAAGATAGAAGTTTTTTTGGATTACCCAAAACTTTCGTTCCGTGATTTTATTTTTCGTTCCGTGATTTTTTTTCGTTCCGTGATTCTAGAAGAGTGCCAATAAACCGAGATAATTGAGCTCAAAGAGCACGTGTGGAGTATGCTTCTATTTGATTATCACTATTTGGCATCTCTTGCAAAAATCCGAACCATTTTTTCACTCACATCATTATTGCTCGATGTTTCCGTCTTTCTTTTTTTCGGAGGATTTCTTCTTTTCCCTGGCTGATTGGTAGCTGGTCTCTTTCCTGTTTTGGATGATCGGGGCTCCTTCTGCTCTTCGTCTTCTTCACCTTCTTCTCCTTCTCTGACTCTCCTTGATGGTACCGGCTGGTCCTGAAAAAATTAATTATGTATAACTTACTAAATACTGGTCAAATATCGCATGAAAATTTTGAATACAGATTTTTAGCGATTATTACTCTTGTCCGAAATCAATGCACGTTGCGGCCGAGAAAACAAAGGTGGGCGGAGCTTAACGCCCACAGAGAGAACGCTACTGTATTTTTCAAATTATTGCACGCGCCTTTAAACAGTACCTCAACATTTGTTGAATTTTTGCCTTTTTATCTTATTTTTTCGCTTATTTCTGTCTAATTTTGTCTAATCCTTATAAATCTTTAATTTATTCCCCTTATAAAACATAAAAACAGTCAATTTTGGGGGCAAAAAAAAATCCGAAGTACGGTAGGTTTAAAGGCACATGCATTAATTTGTAGTTTTCGCTGTTCGACCGACGATGCGATTTTGTGTTAATTTTCGGCCGCAACGTGCATTGAAAATAGACAACAACACAGTCTCCCACAGAACATTTCCGAACTGCAAATTAAATTTTGATCTACAGAACAAAATTTTGGCGCGATCACAATTGCAGGTCTAAAGCCATATTTTCAGGATTTTTCATCAGGTTTTGTGGAGATTCAAGATGGTTCAAATCATTCTTAAAACATTAATTATTGGTTATAGAATCCTGTATGGACTTTTTCCGGAAGAAAAAATTTCAAAAATGGTCATTTTTGAAAGTTTTTTACAGAAAAAATGTATCTCCTCTTTCAGTTTTTGACATTTCTAGGAGTTCTTTAGCTCAAAAAAACCGCAATGATTTACTCTTCATTTTGTATAGATGAATTTTTGATCCGTCTGACAGAACTTTTTTTTTAATCAAAAAACCACACGAAATTGCACGAAATCGCATTTTTTTCTTTGGGCTCAATTATCTCAATTCCTTTGAAAGATAACAAAAATTTGTCAACTGATAAAATATAGGTGATATTATGATAAACAATTTATTAGTTGACAAATTTTTGTTATCTTTCAAAAGAACCGAGATAATTGAGCTCAAAATGCAGGTATAGGCTAGGCCTGTATGAGATCATCACTGTTTGACATCTCTTACAGAATTCGAGATAACCAAAACCAATTTTTTACTCACATCATTATTGCTCGAATTTTCGGTCTTTCTCTTTTTTGGAGGGTTCCTTTTTCCCTTTGGCTGGTTGGTGGCTGGTCTCTTGCCTTTTCTGGATGCTCGAGGTTTGTTATGCTCAACTTCTTCTTCTTCTTCTTTGTCTCCTTCTTCTTCTTCTCCTTTTCTGACTCTCCTTGATGGTTCCGGCTTCTCCTGAAAAAATCAACTATGTAAAACTGAAATATTGGTTAAATATCGTATGAATATTTCGAATTGATTATTTTGCTATGCGCTTCATAGTTAAATTTCAGGAACGTGGATCACATCTCTGATGATCTTCAGCCTCCTCCTTCTCTCCATTCTCGCCTGGAGCATCCTCCACATTTCCTATAAAACTCACTGCAGAAAGTGTTCGGGATTGTTGATTCCGATCTTCCCCGACGGATGTCTCCTGTTCCTCTTCTCCAATCTCGACCGAAGAATCCTCTACATTTCTGGTCAGGTCATCCTCCAGACTTTCATAAATGTCCTCTACGGGAAGGCATCCAGACATATCATTACCTCGTCGCTCCTCCTCCTCCAGTTCCCGTATAACCCTCATGACCTCCTGCTCATCTTCGAAATTCCAAACTCGAGCATCATATTCATCTTCGTCCTTATCTTCTTGTCTGTCTTCAGATCCTCTTCTGAATCTCCTGGGTGGGCCTGGCTCCCGATCTTCATTTCCGTTCTCCCTAAGGCCATACGCATCATTTCCTGATCCTTTAAAGTTGTTTACTTGGATGAACAGCTCCTCGTTTTGGTCAACTCGAATCAACCTTCCCACCTCCGGATTCCTAGCTTTCCGATGACCTTCATCTTCTTCTTCATTTTCGTCATCTCTCACAGTTTTATCTTCAGAATGGTTGTCTTCTTGATAATCCTGATGTGGATCATAGGATCTGGAAGACGTCGGTGGCTCATTAAAGCCCGCTTCGAAACTATACCAATCGAATCGGTATTCGTGTTCCAGGAAATTCTCTTCGTTGTCCGCTCGAAAAGCATAAGGATCCAATTCGAATATCTGTTCAGGAACGTCGTCTTCTCGATGATCCTGACGTGGAGCATCGGATCGAGAAGGACGAGCTGGTCTTGAAGATGTTGATCGCTCCCTAAATCCAGTTTCGAAATCGTACTCATCTTCATCGTATTCGTACGGGATGTTGTCTTCCGAGTCTCCTTCATATTCTCGATGGTGCTGATCTGAATAGGATGAAGCAGGTGGTCCAGGGTGGACCTGGTTATCATGGTCATCGTCTTCTTTTCCTTCTGCATCTCTCACAGCTGCGTATGGAGATTGAAGACGTCGATGGTGTATTGAAGACGTCGATGGCTCCCTAAATCCAGTTTCGAAATCGTACTCATCTTCATCGTATTCGGACGGGACTCTGCCTTGCACGCCATCTCTTTCATATTCTCTAAGAGCTGGAGATGAAGAAGCACCAATAACGTCGTCATCTTCTTGAGCTTGACTGATTTGATCTACGACCTCAGGGGCTACAAACATGATACTTTCCGAATCGATCGCAGAGCTTAGAGCTTCTTCTGGAGCATCCCGAATTCCTTGATCTTGGTTGACATCACCAGAACCATCTTCGCTTCCTCCAGAACTTTCTGGAAAATTGTTTTAAATAATTTTCAAAACATTTTGTTAATTCATACCTGGATCCTCTGCAGATTGCTCTCCTTCTCTAGCGTCGATTTCCATCTCTTGTTGATCATCATATCCATTGTGAGTCTTTAGAGCTTCCAAGCTATCGCGAGCTTGTTCGCAGGGGCCTGCTTGATCCTCGTCATCATGATCATTAATGTCTTCAACAACCATCTCATGCTCTGGCAGATGCTCGCCTTCTTCCTGTTCCACCTCTTCTTGCACGCCATTGGTAGCTGAGGTGGAAGACGTCAGAACATAACTGTAATTTGAAGATTTTGGCAATCTTATTCAATCAAAAGAATCCCGTTGTATCTCAATTAAAGCCTTTTTTCGTAAAATTGTCTTAATGATTTCCTAAATTTCAAGAAAAAAATATTACGATTGTCTTCGAATCAGTTCCGGATGTACTGCCGACAGGACCACTTCATAAAACTCCTCAGCACGCTCCAGATCATCCTTTGACATGGGAAGTTGGTCGTAGGGCTCGCGTTCTAAGAAGTAATGAGGTGCAGGACAACCTTGCTGAAATTAAGAGAAACATTTTTGATCTGTTATCTTTACTTTTAAACATCATCAAATTCTGTGTGTGAGTGAGTTTGTCCGTTTGTTCCCGGGTCGCCGACCTTAGCGAAGTCACTGATGAACCAAAAATTTACAAATTTTCACAGATAACGCGAAATAGCAGCGAGATGATGCCGGACTTTTTTTATTCAGAAAAAAAACTTGTCTAACATTTTTCAGATACATATCTTCCTATGCTAGTTATTCAAAGTTAAAGAATTACCTTTCTCGAGTCTGCAATAGAACAAAGATTTTTCAACTCCTCAGTGTCCGCCAGTGGTATATCCTCGAGCAGCCTCGCGGTCATTTCTTGCAGTATCAATTGTCCCACGTTGTTAGTGTATTGCAGAAGAGCCCTGTTGATTTCTGTGGGGGTGTCCGGCACGTGTAAGGGTTGTTGAGGAGCATCCGTAGGTTGTCCGGAGGGGATTTGCTGGTGGGTGGACGACGTTGATGACGATGTTGATGGAAGGCATTGATCTTCATGAGTTGATGGTTGCGGTTGCTGAGGAGCCGGTGGAGAGATGACTGCTTCTTGTGATATATCTTCTTCCTCCTCGTCGTCATGTCCATCAACGTCGACCTCCAGATGAACATGTTCCGATCCGAATGAATTTTGGTGATTCTCATCAACATTTCCACGGTCAAGAGCTTCTTCTGGAACACCTCCTGTCACTTCATTCTGATTCGCTTCGCTGTTTCTAGATACTTTTGTAGCTTCCAATGTACTTTTGTAGCTTTCAATATCATTAGAACCACCTTCGCTTCCATCCAATTTTTCTGAAGTCTCAGGAGTGGCAGCAGAGTTGGTAGTCTTCTGGTTCTTTGTTTGGTAGTCTTCTTCTGGTTCTTCTAGCCCTTCCTCTAGATCTTCCTCTTCAACCTCTCGAACATTCGAGATGACATAGTAAGAAGCTTCAGCTGGATCCTCATCTCGGTCTTCATTTTCCACATGGTTTGCCTCACTAATCGGTTTGTAAACTTCTCTAGGGATGCCTTCTGCCTCCTGATCAGCAACGTTGTCTTCTCTGTCATTCTGATGTGGATCGTAGGATCGAGATGTTCCAGCTGGTCTTGAAGATCCAACGGCGTCTTCCTCCAACATACTGGATCCTCTTGGATTTTCATTCATTCCTTCCGAATCAATAGATCTTCGCAGATCATTAGGGTTGAAAGATGCTTCTGGAGCATCCCCTTCATCGTTGGGATACTGTTCTGGTGCGTTCACTTCGTTTTCATCTTCATCTTCAGCAGCAATTCCAGCGTCTGGATCTTCAAAGAAGTCGTCGTCCAGGTCAATGTCTGGGCTCACAGCAGCACTTCTATCATCCAGTCCATTCCCGAGGACTGTGGAACGATCGGAGTCATGATCATCAGGCCACCACTGTTGGCTGAAATTTTGAAGAGTTCGGTCTGAATCTTTTTTTTTCAGTTCCAAAAGTTTATTACTGTTGTTTTCCTAAATTTCGAAAAAATCAGCTTACCCTCGCTGTGGGGCCTCCTCCTCATCTTCATCTTCACGATCTTCGCCTTCAGAGTTTGGATCTTCAACGAATTCGTGTTCTCCTTCGTCATCTACGTCCATGTTTGGGCTCACAGCGCTTCAAAAAATCCTTCTGTCATTTTCCTAACTTTCAAAAAAAAAATAAAAGCGGCTTACCCTTGACCTTCAACTTCAGCTGCTTCAGCTACGTCTCCAGAGTTTGGATCTTTCAAAAACTCGTATCCTTCATTGTAATCATCAGGCGCAAAATGTTGGGCCATTGAAATGATTTCTGTGATCGACGGACGTCTAGGAGACGTGCGCACTTCAGCTTGAGCTGCGGTGGAAGACCTCGGAATAAACCTGAAATTTTAAGACTTTGGTAACTACTTTCAATGGAAAGAATGCTTCCTAAAATGAATAAAACATATATTACCATTGTCTTCGATTGATTTCTTTATGCAATACCGAATGAACCGCATCGAAAAACTTCTGCGCACTTATCAAATCTTCCGGAGTCGCGCGTTGTCTGTCGGAGTCCGGGCGGCGATCTCCAACGTCGACGGATGGTGTATCTCCATTCTGAAATCAAGATGAGCATTCTTATTTTGTTTTGGAAGCTTATGCATGTATTTTTAGATATTAAAACTATAGAATTACTTTTCTGAAAGCCGTAGCATACCAAAGGCTCTCCACCTCTATGGTAGTGGCATTTTGTATATTAGCGATCAGCGTATCGGTCATCAATTCCACCTTCCATTTTCCGATGTTTTCCAGGCGTTCCAGAAGAATTGTTATGACTTTTGTAGCGTTTCCTTTCGGCACAGCTGGAGGAGCAGGGGTAGGTTGGCCAGAAGAAAGTGTCCCAGATGTACTTGGACCTGGGCTTTGGAAATACGACGTTGACAGACCAAGTTGCTCACAATGTGCCTCGTGGACCTGTGCGACCAATGGATTTCTCAAATACTCCTGGAATTTGAGCATGAGTTCCTCTTCGTTTTCATTCGATTCTATGAGGTTTAGAAGATGGAGACGACCAGCTTTGAGATTTTGGAAGTTTAGAAATCGTTCCACCTCGACTGGAGGATATGGTGGAGCTTGCTGATGTTGTGGTGGTGCTTGATGTGGATTTTTGGGGGGTTCGGGTTGAGGATTTGAGGTAGAGGTGGTTGATGGAGGCATAGCGTCTGAAAATACTGAAGTGTTTGAAAATTGGAAGAAGAAACTACATAGGTTAGAACTAGATTCACAGCCTAAAAACGAAGAAAAAGTGTTAGGATTCGTCTGGTTAACGAAACACTCTAATAGAAGGTCAACCTAGACTTGCAATTTGAGCTCCATTATCTCAATTTCTATAAGAGATATCACAAATCTGTAACTTGATAAAACGTTTATTACAATATCACCAAAATTTGTCAATTGGCAGATTTTTGATATATCTTATAGAAGATGAGATAATTGTGATAATGGAGATAATGGAGATCAAAGTAAACGTATAGAACACAATCTACTATGTTTTTAGACATACATAGCACGGTCTCCCACAGAACATTTCCGAACTGCAAATTAATTTTTGATCGACAGAAAAAAAAATTGGCGCGACCACAATTGCAGATCTAAAACCATAATTTCAGAATTTTTTATCTGATTTTGTGGAGATTGAATATAATTCAAATGATTCTTAAAAAATTAATTAGTGGTTATAGACTCCTGTATGGTCCTTTTCCGGAAGAAAAATTTCAAAAATGGTCATTTTTGAAAGTTTTTTACAGAAAAAATGTATCTCCTCTTTCAGTTTTTGACATTTCTAGGAGTTCTTTAGCTCAAAAAAACCGCAATGATTTACTCTTCATTTTGTATAGATGAATTTTTGATCCGTCTGACAGAACTTTTTTTATAATCAAAAAACAACTTAAAAATGCGATTTTGTGCAATTTCGTGAGGTTTTTTGATTATAAGAAAAGTTTCATCAGACGAATCGAAAATTCATCCATACAAAATGAAGAGTAAATTATTGCGGTTCTTTTGAGCTATAAAATTTCTAGAAATGTCAAAAACTGAAAGAGGAGATACATTTTTTCTGTAAAAAACTTTTAAAAATGACCATTTTTGAAATTTTTTCTTCCGGAAAAGGACCATACAGGAGTCTATAACCACTAATTAATTTTTTAAGAATCATTTGAATTATCTTCAATCTACACAGATAAAAAATTCTGAAATTATGGTTTTAGATCTGCAATTGTGGTCGCGCCAATTTTTTTTCTGTAGATCAAAAATTAATTTGCAGTTCGGAAATGTTCTGTGGGAGACCGTGCATAATTTGATACTTTCAAAAAACTAGATAATATTAACCAATTTTTGGCTGATACTGTACCAGAAAATTTTGTCAGAGAAGGCAGAAAATGAAGGATATTGTAGAATAAAAACATCTTAACGAGTGTTGTGCGAAGGTATGGTTACTTCTAGTCTCAATATCTTGGCTCCTATGCAAGATATTAAAAACCGGTCAACTGATAAAATGTTTGTGATATTATGATGAACAATTTATCAGTTGACCACTTTTTTATATCTTTGACAGGAATCGAGATAATTGAACTCGAAGTTAAAAGCTAGGGGACCCTGCTATACAGGTTTTACGGCAATTCTTAGCTCCTGTGGAACCGAAGCTCAAAAAAGTAGAAGTACTGCTCATTATCAAGCTCATTAGAGTGACAAGTGAACTATTGATAACAGAAAGCGGCGACAAAAAAATAAGTTATTCGCGTTCTTATCAGTTTTCGGAATGGCGATATCGAGGAAACAGTACATTGGGCTGTGTGGCTTGTCAATAAATTTTGAATAGAAAAGGAGAACGGAAAAGAGAGTGCGAAAGGCGAACTATATTTTTCTTTATGTACTGGTTGTCAGAAAAAAAAAGAAATAAACGATAAATGTATGAATTTATGACAAAGAGGGGCACACAAGACAAGAGATGGAACTGCACACATAATGCAAAGAAGATACGATGGATGGGAACATGTATGTAAGAGGGAAATGTTGGCATGACTTTGAATAGCAAACTACGGTAGTTTCTTGTTCTCTTGATTCCCTTTCATTCACATCTCGCAAACGAATGTTTTTGAAAGAGAAAAAAGAGCGATATGTGTTCAAATCGATCTGCATTCAACCGATATGTAAACCGTGAGAAATTGCTTGAGGAAATCCAAAATAAGTTCTCCGTTTGAAAAAAAAACGAGTAATTGAAGCAATACATTCAATGGTCGATACCGTAAAACCTGTAATAGAAAATCCCTTTAACTTTGAACTTTGACCTAATTTATCTCATTTCTTGTGAAAGATATCAAAAAAGTTGTTCACTAATATATTGTTCATCATAATATCAAAAGTGTTCTGTCAAATAATCACTTTTTGATATCTTTAACAGGATTCTAGATAAATTGGCTCAAACTTGACAGAATGGGGTCTTTCTATTACAGGTTCAACGGGAACTGAATAGAAATAAGATCAAGAGGGATAGATTTTCAATTTACCAAATATAATCGTCTTCTTTTTGATAATTAGACAAAGCCAAAAATGCTAATTTGGATCGAAATCGCAAGATACAAGAAAATACATTTTCCCCAGCACACACATCCATTACTAGAGCCGAGGATCGAATTCTAGAAAGTAGGTACCGTAAAACCTCTAATAGAACGACACCCGGAACGTCCACTTTGAGCCTATATATCTCACTTCTTGTGAAAGATATCAAAAAGTGGTTAACTAGTAAAATGTTTATCAGGATATCAGCAACATTTTACTAGTT